ATACCTATCTACATCAGTACTTAGGTATTATATTATTTGTATTTCAATAGTATATGACGTACAATGCATATTCTGGACAGAAATATGTATCTATAAATAGTGGAACATTATATGATATATTTGTTTTAATTTACACTATATTATCGCACCATCATACATGTACTAATATATAATACATATTGTATACTAGATGATATATCAGCTTTCGATTTTTGGAACTGACCATATTTTAAAGTACTTTTTTAGAAGTGTCCTGTGGTCATAGCAACTTATTTTTTTTTCAAACGATAATCATCGAATTTTCGCAAAAATCACAAACATTGTTTGTAAAAATATTCCAGTATATTAGATCTAAAATAACWTCTGTTTTATATTATTTCAAAATTATATTTAAGGGATATTATTTTTTCGTATAGAACAATAACTTAGAAACTACTCGTTTAAGTGTTGATATAGATACAAAAACATTTGAAAAAAGAATCGTCGGCTGTTTAATAATTCAGAAAGGTTTGTTCTCTTACTCATTTGAATAGAAGATGTTTGTATAGCCACAGGATACTCCCTAAATTATATGACATATAAAATATTTTCTTAATTAAAAATTYCAATATTCATGAATTTAATCCATTATTATTAAAGAAAAAAATGGGATATTATACAAAACAAAAAACTTTCCACAAGTGTTAAACATAAACACATTATTATTTGTTTCTATTATACACAGAATTATTGTACAATGTTATATTTTGTAATTAYATATTATTACGTAAAATCGTATTGCTGCATTGTAATTATAATAAATCATAGTATAGGTATAGCCGAGAAAATGACTATTCGTTCTTGCAAATAATTATTAAAAAAACAAAGACAGTGTTGTCGTTATTATAATATATAATATAAGTCAACTCAATATTATTATTGTCATATAACGTAAAAGATTAGATCCTGCCCGGTGCAGCGAATTTCAATCATCAATTTTTCCATGGTAAATATGCGGGTCACCATGTTATTATTATCATCATTATTATAATAATGTAACCACTAAGTTCATATTATACCACGTTATCGGTAGGTACCTACCTATACATAGAATTAACATATTACAATGTTTTACAGACACAGTTCTTCGAGGTCCGCACGGCTGCCACACTTGATCAACGTAATCTTGCCCGATTTGCACACGAACATTTCCACCTCGTCCCTTCTAGGCGGCGGACTATCCGCGCACGCGCCGTTCGCCGTTGTCCTGTTCGTGCACCGCGTCGAATATCCTCTTTTCCACTCAGATAAYGTGGTGGATCTTACCGAGGGTGACCTCCCGTGATTTGCGTTTGATTTGCCACGAAAACGGCCGCGCCGGAAGTGCCGCAATTTGATGCGGAACTCGCGTTTGAATTTCTCCTGTAACATCAACATTATGTAACACTCTTCTCTATACTTACCGTTGTCTATKCGAAAAACAGGCATAGGTTATAAAAAAATAATAATGTATAGCTCGTCCAATCGATAACTCCAAAATAATATAAAATATTACGTTCTATCGATGTCGAGGTGGTAAAAAACGAACCATATTTACT